CGTGACCAGAGAAAAGAAGATCGCCGCATGATCCACCCGATATGCCCGTCGTCAAAGATGTTGCGATGTCATGCCAAGTACCGGGAGGGAGGTAGACTCCGTGTCCCTGCGCCTTGGACTGACAGTGAGGTGCAGGTCCTGGCAGTGATGTCATGGTTGAAGTTATACACCGAAAAGCATAAACCACCGTCATCATCCGGAACCAGTCTGTGAGGCAGCGGCAACGGCGACGGCGATCAAGGAACAACATGACATATAGAAATGTTGCAACCGGCATTGCACCAGTGAGTGCATCTGAAAGAGGTTCGAGTCGACTCCCACCTCCAAGCTCAGGTACGAGCACAAAACCAACATCAAAAAGCCTTTTCCCGGGCTGATGAAGGTACGATGCGAAGTTTGTGCACAAGGTCATGGCAAGGCCCGAGACTCCGAACAGTTCTGCGTGGAAGCAAATGGCAAAGACCTATGGCATGTAAATTTACTCTACATACATGTTGATGCACAAAACGTATACCATCGCGGGCATCACGCGTTTGAAGATTCGACGTGCAGTGACAGCAGTAGCTAGCCAACCTAACCACACCACCGAACAAATTGCGATCTTAGCGGAATGCCGCGTACGTTCCGGCAAAGCACCGGGCTGCGGTGAAGTGATTATTTCACCCGTGTGAAACCCTAGCCAATCCACATCGCCTACCACGTGTTGCCAAAAAAACCACCAAAGCGCCCAGATCTGCGCGACATGCGCCATGATAATGAGTAGCCATCCGAGGAATGACAATGGCTCCAGGAAGCCTTCACGACTGCACAGCTGATTTCGCAGCAGCTCCACCGCGACTTGTGGCGGAGTCACACTACCCCGAAAGTCTGCAATTTTTAATTATCAAACTTCCAAAACGCCCCGACAGCAGTTTTCGTTTTGTACACGTACATAGGATACTAACTAGCGGACGGAACGAGAACCTTTTAAGACGAAGCCATGGTTCGAGCGTTTTTATCAGCCCCCAACCACGCGATTATCCGCGCTCGGTGCAATTTGGACCAAGAAAACATCAACTTTAGGATCAACATAGCGGAGCTGAAGAACAAAACCACAGGATCCGCCGAGCCACCATCCCCGAGGGACCCCTCGCATCTGGGAGGACACCGAACTTGAAGCTCGCCGCGGGCGGGTGCGCCCGGGAAGTCGTCCTGTGGTCCTACTACGAAACCATGGGTTTCGAGGAGGTTGTAATTTGGACCACCCCAGCGGGATCGGCCTCCGCGGGCCCGCACTCGTCGGTAGCTGCGGCCTGGCGGGCATCGCAGAGTCATGGGTCGTCGGCGCCGTCCGCGAGCCCGCCGTCGGAGCCGTCGCTAGCAGCGTCGGCCGAATCCTCAGCCGGTTGGCGGCGCCGCACTCCCCGTCAAAGTCGTGGAGCTTCGACGTGGCATTGTAGGCCCCGCGGGGCTCGATGACGAGCTTGGCGCCGCGCCGCGCGGCCCCGAGCGCGGCCACCGGACCGTCCGTGATCGACTTCTGCTTCTTCTTCATGGGGCTCTTTGTCGGACTCTTTGGAGCGGGCGCAAGCGCGCGCGCGCGCGCTGCGCGTCTAGCAGCGCCCCGGCGCGGCACCCGTCCCCCCGTCGTCGTCCCGCGGCGCGTCGTCCCCATCGACCCGCGGCGCCCCAACGCCGCGGCGCGTCGCCCCCGCATGCTCACCGCCAAGGCCGCGGCGCTGCCACCCGATGGGCAGCCCGAAATCGGTCCCTCCGAGACCAAATCCGACAGGGACTTCGAGCGCCGCGTCCCCAGGGAGTGCCCGGGGGCGCGCGACTGCGAACCCGCGCCGAAGGCGACCAAGAACCGGCCGCGAGACAGCCCTCAGAGGCGGACCATCGTGTGGCTCTCCCCATGGTCCAAATTACAAAGTGGTCCAAATTGCACCGAGCGCGGATATCCGGAATCACGCAACGATCCCAGTAGCTTCGAGCTCCGCTAGTGTGAGACGCGAAGTGCTGCCGGTCGCGTGGTGACTCGAACCGTCCTTCGGGGGCTGGGATGGGGCGCGTTTGATCCCCTCGACCCCATTTTGATGTCTATCGACCTCTCGCAGCATCGGGGATCGCATATCACCATCCCCAGTCAATTCCCTTCAGTAGGGCTGGGTTGGTCGGTCGTCGTCGTCGCCGCCGCCGCCGCCGCCGCCGCCGCCGCCGTCGTCGTCACGCGCGCGCGGAAATTCGAACCCACAATCAAGGGCAGCGGACGTCCGGAAATAGCATCTCAATTCCACCCGGGAAGGGCGAACTCGTACATAAACCACACGAAACGACCTAACAACCGCGTAACGCGACGCGCGCATGATGTCGTGGACGCTGAGACGCACTGTACCGTTACGCGGCTGTCAGAGCGACTCCGGACCCGCCCCCGGGGCTCCGGTCGCAGCCCATAACGTGCGCAGCGGCGCTTCAACGCGATTCAATCCAGTACAGGTAATCTTCGATTAGCCAGGAAAGTAGCGCCCAAAGGGGAGAGAGAGAATGAGCTGCTATTTATTATTGCAGCCCAGTCGATGCTCGCTTCTTATGCTCTTATCTGGCCGGCGTTGCTAAAGCAGCCCGCCGGCGGGATTCTTTCTGGGGGGGGGGCATAGTGTAGACCCGGGAGGCGGCAGCCATGGTCAGGACCAATCCGATCCCGGAGGAGCTGAGGGGTCGGCGGGGTCCGACGCAACGGCTTACCTAACATGTTACTTACGACTTACATTCGGCCAAAACGACTTACCTGACGGGTTACTTTCGGACTCGGCGACTTACCCGGCGGCCTACCCCGGCGGCCCGAGGCCGCGGGGGGCCCGGGGCGCCGCTTCGCGGAGCGCGCGCGCAGCCGGGCAATCGGCGGCGTCGGCGCCGTGGATGTCGGGGGCCGGCGCGATCGCCGGCGCCGCGCCGCCATTGCTTCAGCTCGCGTGGCGTCGCCAAGCAGTAATAAAAACTATCAGCAGCCCGCGGGTTTTGGCGAGTGCCCAGTCATCCGTCCGTTTTGGCGAGCCCAACGACTTACCCCGGGGCCCGCGACTTACCTTACGACTTATAATCGGCGCCAGCGACTTTAAAACGGGTTACTTTTATCGTTGCGTCGGACCCCGGGGGTCGCCCGTTCAGTGAATAGGCGGAGACCTTGCCAGCGCGGGAGGCGCTGAGGGAAGGATAAAACCCCCGACCCCGTGACCTTTGCTTTGGGGCTGTTGCCCCTAGCTAACGCGATATTTAGATCAAATAAGTTCAAGTAGAGTCTCGTTGGGCATTCAAGCACGACTTCCGACCCGAACTGGCGACCCCACACCCCTGAAGACTTAGTGTCTCGGTCGATACGATTAGCGCGCCAACTCGACTTCCCGGCTTGGCAGGGGGCATAGTTCACTAATTTTGCAGTCCGTCGACGAGGCGTCTATGACATGCATACTACGGCCGGCGGCCAGAAATAATAAATAAATACTTCTATGGGGCGCTCCAGCCCTATGGTTGTTTTCGTCCTTGGTGGTTTGGGCTGCCAGCATTAGAGTGGTTTGTGGTGTGAGCTCACCCAATCACATCACCGTGCCGGGCCGTGAAGACGCCATATGGCAAACCTGTTTGACATCAACTTGGTATGCCTTGATGGAGGAGAGCACTTTGTGGGTGATGGAGAGACGCATGCGGATACAGCGGGGGCAGCCGACTTCATCAGAACACCGGTATCTGGGAATGATCACCTAGACGCGGTGGGAGGCGGGGTCGTGGATTTCGATTTGGACGATGATGGCGCAAACAGCGCCGAGGAGGACATGAACATACGTGGAGGGATATCTGACAATGATAGTGATGACACAGCTCCAGCGGTAGAAGAATCGCCGAAGCGAGACTGTGCCAAGTATGCATTGAAACAAGTTAGGGACGTTGATCCAAGGTCTTTGCCACCCCAGACCATTGTTCTCCAAAGGTCGGCTCAATTTTCCTCTGAGCCGAGCATGAAGACACGGATAGAGCTATTGCCGCATCCTTTGACGCAGGTCAAGAAACCCTGGCACCTTGAGATGCTCGATAGCCTCATGGGCTCATCCGCACATCATGCCCGGGCCCACTCCACAGTCACTCACAATAAAGGTGGCGCGATGACATATGAAGAAGCTCTGCGCCGGCGACCCACGAGAAGGCAACCAAAGGGGATTCCCGTACGTCGCATTGGAAGCGTCTAAATTGCCAGGGAGTGGCTTGTGGCTCGATGCTATGGCCACCCCGCTACGGCGCTGCCCACATCCACAGGCCAGCACTTTCGGCTTCCAACCGAGGGCCATTGCTCCCACGCTACAAACAGGCTAAGGGCAGTCTTGGTTCCGTTCACAGTCGACCCCCCCCGAGTGGTGCGTTTTTAATTCGCGCTTCGGCGGGAGGGGTGCGAGGGCTGGGGCTAGGACGTCCCTCGGACGCGCCATGGTTCCCCGCGTTTATCGTAGAGAGATAGAGGGTTTTGTATCTCCCTAGTGGCTCGCTGGTACAGAGCCACTCAATATCCTTTCCCTTCCTTAATACTTTCTAACCCTGAGCACTATAGTTGCGTCCCGCACTGTAATAGACGGGAGAAAATATTTTTCTGGGATTAGTGGCCTATTTTTCTGGGTTTAGTGCCGGGAACTGCGTTTCTGGGTTTAGTGACCGGCGAACGGACCTCCTGGGTTTAGTGATCGGTCAGTTAGACTTTTTGGGTTTAGGATATTCAAACACGGCTCCGCTGACCGCCGACAGCAACGCCGTGGTATGGCGGGGATCGCGACGCTCGCGGCCGAGGCCTTCGCCGCGAGCGTCGCGCGCTTCCACGCCGAGGCCGCGGCCGCGCGCGAGGCGGCGGCCGAGGCGCCGCCGCCCGGCGCGGGCGACGTGCGGCTCGAGCGCTACAACGCCGCGAGCCGACTCTGGCACACGCTCGCGGCCCCGGCCGCGCCGCCCGCCGCGGCGGGGGCGGAGCGCCCCGCCGCCGAGGTCGCGCGGCTCGAGGCCGAGCGGCGCGCGGCCGAGGAAGCCCGCGGCCGCGCGTTGCCGCCGCCCCCCGAGCCCAAGGACGACGCGCGCGACGCGCGCGACGCGCTCAAGGCGCACGGCGAGGCGCCCGTCGACGACGAGGCCGAGGCGCCCGTCGAACTGCCCGAGCTGCCCGTCCAGGACGACGACGCGCGCGACGCGCGCGACGAGGTCGTGGCCTGGGTCCGGGCCCACGCGGTGTCGGGCACGAGCAACACGATCAAGGAGATCTACGCGGCCGTCGCGGACCGCTTCGGCGTCGAGCTCACGAAGCCGTGGAAGATGCTCATCAAGCGCGTCGTGACCGAGGCGCTCAAGGACGACGACGACGACGACGACGACGACGACGACGACGAGGCCGGCGAGGCGCCCGTCGAGGCGCCCGACGACGACATCGACGCCTACGACGACGACGACGACGACGCCTACGAGGAGGACGCGTCCGTCGAGGCGCCCGACGAGCGCGGCGTGTCCGGCGAGTCCGGCGACGACGACGACGACGACGACGGCCTTAAGATCTACGACGATTGCGACGACGACGACGACGACGCGTCCTTCGACGAGCCGGATCTGGAGCCCAAGCCCAAGCACAAGCAGACGCGGGACGACAGCGTGCCCTGGCGCACGACGAAGACGTGGACGGGCGGAACGTTCGACGAGAAGGCGCTGGACGACCACCTGGAGCTGCTCAGCGAGGACGGCTCGGAGTGGACCGGCGGGGGCGGCTACTCCCAGAAGTGCGGCGACCGGATCATCTACAAAAAGTCTTCGACAGTGTCTCTCGCGCGCGCGCCTCCGCCTCCCGCGATCCCGACGCACGCGTCGCCGCCCGCGATCCTGCCGCACGTGTCGCAGGTGCAAGTGGGAGAAGAAGCTCAAGTGCCCGTGCAAGGTCCGCATCGTGCACCCGGCGGACCAGCCCGGCGTCACCTATTTTCAGGAACGCCTGGGCCACGTGCACAACTTCGACGACGAGATGAAGACGTCCACGACGCTGCCGGTGAAGATCCGCGAGATCGTCGCGCCCAGGGCGCCAAAACCCAAAATCCCACCTTGTTGTTGTAAACTCAAAAACGCACTCTAAAACCCAGAAACGCAGTTTCCCGGTCACTAAACCCAGAAACGCAGTTCCCGGCACTAAACCCAGAAAAATAGGCCACTAAACCCAAAACAATAGGGATCCTAATAGACGGAGAGTCTTCCTGGACCTAGTGAGGCAGATCCTTTGCCCGTTCGTCCAGTAGCCCCGGCCTCCGTCACGGTATACTACGGCGGCTGAGGTGACGTTGGCCCAATCCGGTTTGGGAGCTACCCCAAACCTGTTTGGCGTATGTGAGCCCGTTGAACGCGCGATCCTCGTCGATTTTTGCAGCCTGAGTGTTCCAGACTTGGGGTGTGGTGGTTAGGTGGATACGGGGGATACCCCGAGGGGGATACTAGTACCCCGGGGGTATCTCTGCGGCCCCGCAGTGGGAGAGCTGTAGCCGAGTTGGAAACGGCGTGGCTCGACCACTGGGAAAAATCCGCGAGTGGGAGCCGGAAGTGGGCCTGGTCTCGACCGGCCGGCCACGAGGGCGAGCGGGAGGGATAAGACTTAAAACTGGATTGGAATGAATTAAGGAAGGGAAGGAAGACTAGCAGGATGCGCAGTAGGGGCGCAGCGGGGTATGGTGCACGGCAACATCAAGGTGCAGTTCACTGGGGATTAGGGTAGAAGTCTCTTTATCTCTCTAAGGTAGCCTAGCCAACTACCTTTACAGAAGTACTAGGGGAGCATGTAATCCTGGTTAGGATACTGGCTGCTCATTATTTGCCCAGGCCCAGCCCCCCATATATTGGCTGCTCATTATTTGTTCATCATCCCCTCAGCCAATAATACATGTTATCAAGAATAATTATATTGCGGCTCTTCCTTTTCTTTTTATGGCATATCACGGACTTAGCCATCCACCCCCGGTCAGCACGAAAATTGCTCTGTAGACGTGTCGCTCTATCAACTTGGACGGGAGCCGTTATCGAACCGACCCAAATCAGCGATTCGACAATGAAGCGGAAGGGTTGTCTGGACACTCCGTGAGCCGATCGCAGCCCGCTGTACTGAGATGGCATCGTTCGAGGACCCCGCAAAATCCTGGGCGCGAGACCGCGATAAGTTCAAGGAACGGACGGGAGACGCGTCTGAAGCACAAAAAGAAATTGCTTTCGTACAGTGGTTGACCGAAAATGGCGGTAAGTTTGCCGATTGCGTCGAGTTACGATCTTACGATGATGAGGTGCGAGGTGTGCATGCGACACGGGATCTCGAAACTGAAGAAATCCTTGTGGAAGTGCCCTTGAAATGTCTAATTACAGTCGAAATGGGCAAGGCGACAGATGTAGGGCGCGCTGTATTGGAAGCGGAATTAGAGCTAGACGCGCCAAAGCATGTATTCCTCATGTTGTTTGTCCTACTCGACCGGCGCGATAGCTCGACCTTCTTTGCACCCTACTATGACATCCTGCCATCGACGCTAAGCAACATGCCCATCTTCTGGCAGCCTGATGAATTGGAATGGCTCAAGGGTTCGTACCTCTTGACACAGATTGAGGAACGGAAACGGGCTATCAAAGCTGATTACGAAGCCATCTGTGGGATTTGGCCCTCCTTCATAGATGTTTGCACGTTGGAAGAATTCAAGTGGGCCCGTATGTGCGTATGCTCTCGAAATTTCGGTGTAGTTGTCAATGGCGCGCGTACATCAGCTATGGTCCCATATGCGGACATGCTGAATCACTTTCGGCCAAGGGAGACTAAATGGACCTTCGACAACTCACGCGGTGCATTCACAATCACATCGCTCCAGAAAATTAGTGTTGGTTCGCAGATCTATGATTCATATGGCCAGAAGTGTAACCATCGATTTTTGCTTAATTACGGGTTCGCCATCGAGGACAATAAGGAGCCAGATGGCTTCTGCCCCAATGAAGCAGCTCTTTTGTTGCAACTCTCTCCTCATGACGCCCTCGCATCTCGAAAGCAGCTACTATGGATTCGTGATGGAGCTGTAGGTGCGAAGCGTATTCGTGTATGCGCAAACGATAACGAAAACTTCCGTGGCTGTATGTCGCTCCTCCGGGTCATGGCTGCTGACGAGGCCGACCTCGATCGGATCCTGGGTCAAAACCCATATGGGAGCTACCGTACCGCGTCGGACGTCCATTTCCCAATTTCATTAAGAAATGAATGTGAAGCCCTCAATCTCTTGAAACATATTTGCCAAAGCATGCTCGATCACTATCCATGTGACTTATCTGAGGATATACAGGCACTTGCCAATGATCATTTGATGCCATTTTCGAATGAACGCCACGCTAGGATTCACGTCAAATCCGAAAAGGTCGTTCTCCACCATTATGTGCGTTTTGCAACCACAGCCCTTGAGTTGACCCATATGCGACCTGACGACTTTGATGCTTCCGTGGCCAGGCTTTTCAATTCTAATGACCATCGTCATGTTGCCACCTATTCTAATGGCATCCTGCGCCAAGTACGGCGCATTGGTCGTGTGCAGGTGAACGTGGCTAAATCATCTTCTCAGATCGACCTTTCATCACCCACTATTGTGTAGTTTATATTCGATACATCACGAATCTGTCCAAGCAGCGCGACCCCACTTACAATCGCAGTGCGCCTCAACGCCGAAATCATGCCGTGTGGCCGCGGAGCAGGTCGTCCTGCATGCTGGCGCCGGATCAAGATTGGTGATACAACGCCAAGTATTGGCCTCCCCGGACCTCCAAGGCTGCCCTAAGCGCCCTTGAACGCGTGGACATGACGAACCCAACGGAACTGAGTTCGCGTCTTGCTCGCTCTCCTAGGCCCGCGTTACTGGGGTTGGGTCTTGGTGGAGACTGCCCCGCTTATTTTGGTAGTTTGGTCCCAGCGTTTGGCGCCTAGTGTCATAGTAGCCTCCACTAGTTATACCCACTGCACATAGGCCCTGCACGCTGGCCCTGCATAGGCCCGCACTAGGTCCCTGGTGCGGCCCGGCCAGTGTGGGAAACGAATAATATAGACTAATTGTCCCACGTCCGTTGGGGGGAAGTGCCACTGCACATTGAAGATATATCATCCGATTCCCGACCCGAACCAACGACCCCAACCTCTCAAAACGCCTCAGGTGATATGTTTAGCCTGAGCGCGCTAACTTGAGAGCGCGGCCTGGCCGGGGCCATAATTCACCAATTTTGCCTCAATTTGAGTTCCGGCGTGACCCCCGCGCGCGCGGCCGACGGAGGACCTCTATGAGGACCTCCCGCCGGGCGACGGCCGAATGATTATTAGTATTTCCTATGGGCGCGTCTAGCCCTATGAGTGGACCTGAGCATGGGGGAGGCGAATAGGACACTTTGACCCGCGTTGTTCCCACCCCTCAGAAACCGACGCGTTTCATCGCGTGGGACAGGCCGTCGAATTTTCTGTGAAATTCATGGCTTTCGTCCCGCCAGCACTCTGGAATTTTCCACCGCGCGTCGCCATCGGTAAGATTTTGCTTACTTGGACCACCAACCGCTTCCGACGGCGGGCGCCGTAAGCTCACCGCGGCCGGTGAATTTAATTGGAGGACCCCGCCTCGTCATAAAGCAAAGCGTTTGGGTTAATTTATTGAAGTAGTAATCGAAAACCTCATCGAAATCGTACAAAACTGCATCGTTTCGACCGACGGATGTGATGCGCCAGCGCCGCGCCGTTTTTGCGCTAGGTGGTGCACGAAAAGCGCGCGTGCTGCGCCGGACAGCGACGACGGGGTTCGGGAGCGCAAAAATTCCTGCTGGCGGCCTTCTGCGGCGAGACTGTCGATCACTGCGACTGCGGGGCGCGCCCCCACTCGATTTTTGCATCCCCGGGTTCATATACCGTGATAGCATGGGGCAGCTCATCACCTCTCTACGGTCGCCCTGCGACTGAATTAGGTTCGAAACTCCCCCGCGCGCGCGACGACGACGACGACGACGGCGGCGGCGACGGCGGCGGCGGCGGCGGCGGCGGCGGCGGCGACGACGAACGACCGACCGACCGACCGGCCCAGAAATTTGGTGCCAGGAACTCGCCCGGGACCTAGGGGAAGTCACCTGAGCCCCCCCCCGAGTACGCCCGAGTAGGATTTAATCAAAGTGGCGAAGCACGACAAGTACGCCAGGCTAGACTCCAAACGGCACCAGAGCGACCCCGAGCCGGCGCAGGCCGCTCCATTAGGGCCGTAGGGACCATGGGCTAACAGGAGCAGAGCGTCGGGGAACTCGGATGGCTCCTGCGGCGCGGTCACGCACTCGGGCCACGGTGCGCAGCGCCCGGCCTCGTTGTCCGTGGAGTCGGGGTCGTATCTCTCTGTCGACCTCTCCCAGCATCGGAGATCTTATTTCATCCGTGAGGTCACTCGTTGGAACAGAAAAAGTGACCCCGTGCCGCGTCCGACCGCGCCGTCCGCGCCGTCCGCGCCGTCCGCGCCGTTCGCGCCGTCCGCGCCGCTTCGCGGAAGGGTGATTCGAAGCCGCGACCCCCCTCGCGTCCAGCGGGGCATCCAGCGGTTGGGATGATCTTATTTCGGGCCTCATCAGCCATCCCCGTACATAAACGCCCTCCCTTTGTGGCCCATGGTGACACGCCCAATGCCACAAAGTTTGCCGGCGACTCGAACATACATCGACATGCCAGCACGCGGCGTCCAGCGGAGGAAGCTGGGACGATCGTATGCCCCGAGACACCCGCATTGCACGCCGAAAGAGGCGACTCGCCCATGCTCTGCGAAGCGCAGCCCGCGCTCATCGTTATCTTCAAAAAAATCCTAGAAAATGGAGACTGGCCGGGGGTTCGGTACCCTTTTTGATTCGCAAATGGGGCGCCGCCCCATTAAAAAAACGTTTAGGGTACCGCGAAACGAATACGATGGGGCCGAGCTAGCCTCAAGCCAAGCCCGCCGAGCGAGATGGGGGGCCGGAACGAGATCCAGCGGGCGTACTTGTCGCACATCGCCACCAAAGTCTACCACCCCGTGGCTGTGTTCACGGTCGACCCCCGTGAGTCCCTGAGATTAATTCCTAGATGGCCCTGGTGGGGGTGTATATATGTGCGTTCGGTTCCGCTGGGCTCAGCGGACGTCCTGGGGTCGCGTCCGCGCAAAGGGGGCCGGGTGACGCCGGGGTGCCGGTCGTCACGGGCCCAGCCAGGCCAAAAAACGCGAAGTCACTTTCCGCGACGAATCGGGACGAACCCCGTACGCCTAAATACATTTCGGAGACTCTGAATTCATTTTCGACGTCCTTGGTACCGTGTAAGACGACCTCGCGGAAGCGCGCGCGTGCGC